CAGGGAGGATCTGGGCACCCCAAACCGTGCTGGGAGCATGATGCCAAGGCATGGGCATGGTGTGAGCTGGCAGGGGATCCGCAGGGATGCCAGGGTGGGCGGCAAGGAGGACGCACAGATCTGGGCATCACCCAAGCCAGCGTTGGTTTGCCAGCAGCTTGTTGATTGCCGGTGATCTCGCTGATTCCTGCTTTTCCCCACCGCTGGGAATGAGGGTCTCTCCTGCCCATCAGCTCTCGGCCTCGCTCACTGCAGGTGTGTATCTCCGGTGGGAACTGGTGACAGTGAAAGTGCAGCCAGGCAGGGAGAGCTGCTCCAGCTGCTACTTCCAGCCCTGCTTGAGGTCAAAATGCTCCTTCCCAACAAATTTTTGGGAGGTGGATGCAGAAAACTCTGCTGGGGATGATTTTTGGGGCTGCAAGTGAGTGCTTCAGAGCTGCATGTCCCTGGAATAAACCCCACTGAGCTGCTGCTCTCGGAGAGCAGTTCCTGCTCTCCTAATTTCTTTTTCAAATCCCTTTTTTTCTGCTGGCAGGAGAGGTTTCACGCTGGCGATCGGCGGCTGAGCACCGTGCTGCCCACTATGGCCGGTGAGTCCAGGCTTGTTTTTTGCCGGGAAGGGGGATAAACCCCATAACTCCGTCCCCTCCAATGCTGGCATCCCCTCCCCACTGAAACACCAGGGTGCCCCCAGGTGATAGCATCTGGGTGTTGGTGATAGCTGAAGTTTCAGGGGGCTGGGGTGGTTTTTTGGGATCAGGGTGGGATCCCACCTGGCTCTTTCCACCTGGAGGCGTCCTGCTGAGCTGATGATGCTGCGCATGCCCCTTGGGAAGCCCAGGGGGATGCTGAGCCCCCCCAAACCTCACTCCACAGGTTGGTTTAGGCGGCTCCTGCACAAGCGAAAGCCCAGCTCAGTGGAGACAAGCCTCAATGCCAGCAGCTCTGCTTCATCCTCACCTTCCTCATCCTCTGCGGAGAGCTCTAGCTCCTCTCCCAGCATGAGCCTGGCCAGGTCCATCCGCCTGTCACCTATCTCGGTGTCGGACATCAGCAGCGCCCGGTGGGCGAAGAGCTACGACGTTTGCATCTGCCACAGCGAGGTGGACCTGGAGTTGGTGGAGGAGCTGGTGTCCTACCTGGAGGGTCAACCCGAAAGCTTCCGCTGCTTCCTCCAGCTGCGGGATGCGGCTCCGGGAAGCGCGGTGGTGACAGAACTGTGTGACGCCGTGCAAAACAGCCACTGCTGGGTCATGCTCATCACCCCCAGCTTCCTCCGCGACCCTTGGTGCAAGTACCAGATGCACCAGGCGTTGGCCGAAGCTCCGATGGCCAACGGGCGCACCATCCCAGTGTTGAAGGACGTGGATCGGAAGGATTATCCCAAGGAGCTGCGAAACCTCTACTACATCTACATGGCGCTGAAGGAGAACAGCTTCAGGCAGATCCGAGACACCATCATGCGCTGTGAGTACGCCGGCATGGGTTGATGTGGTGGGATGCTGGTGAAACATTGCTCTGGTGGGGCAGAGACCGTGGGAAGGGACCAGATTGTGCAAATTTAAATAAATAGTTGGTTTTTTAGATGAGTTGGTTCCTAATGGGGCTTGTCTGCTGCCTCTGCAGACCTCCAGGAGCTGTGCCGGAGCTCCGTGAGCAGGACGGAGTAGTGCCAGGAGCAGGCAGAGTGGTCCTTCCACGTGTTCGGGAGCTGCTGCTGCTGGATCTGGATGCGGCCACATCCCGGTGGATCTCAGAGGCGAAGCTGAGCTGCTTGGACCAGAGCTGGTCCCTACATCCGTGGGGTGACAGCAGCGTGGATCCTGCCATGTCCCGGAGATGCTGGTGGCCAAAAACCCCCTCGGTGGGGATGAGGACATCCTCCAGTGGGTCCCTGCTGCTCGCCACGCAAACACTAAGCTCTGACGTCGGGTGTGTGCGGGGGGGAATCTTCAGAGCTTCTTAGGGTGGCGTGCCCCTGGGGTGAGGACTGGTCCTGGGGGGCTTGGAGCCCAGTAAGCTGACATGGCGCCAGGCTGTGGGCAAGAAAAGGATGTGCAGCCACCCACAATGTCTTTGTACGGGTTTATTTGGACTACGAAAATGCAAGAGTTTTACATTTT